TTGTCTCGACTGTCGATTAGTTGTGTTATAGCTGTTGTCTGCGATGGACGTTACTCCAAGGAAGCGTACGAAAATTGCAGGGTGCACGAAAACAATGACAAGAAAAACTTAAAATATGATGAATAGATGAATTGTTTAACAATTTAGTCAAATTTTGATCGTATTTCTTATCTGAAATTGTTCTGATATTCACCTACTTCTGGTTAATCTGACAATTAAATCTAGCTTGATTGAACTACAGCTTTGACCTATGATACATTTAGCGTGCAAGACAGAAAATTCACCAAACAAACATAAATAATAAAAAAAAAAATTCTGACAAAAAGGCCAAATTCTGATAAGAAAAGTCAGAGTTCTGACAATACCAGGATACAAATCGATAAACAAAGACTGAATTCTAATGTTAAAGGTTAAATTCCGACAATCAAGTTTCAATTCTGCCAACAAAAACTTAAATTCTGGTAAACAAAAATAGTTTTAAGTTTCTGCAATGAAAGGTTAAATGTTAACAATAAAAAATAATTTTCGACATTAAAAGACAACAAAACACTAGTTTCCGACTATAAAATTCGAAATTATTGCATTAAAACAAGAAGTTTCAACAATAAAAGTGTACATTATGACAGTAATAGCCGTCAATTTAACAAAAAATTTTAATGTTTCGCTATTAAACGTCTTATTTCTGACAATAAAAGATGATAATTTGATAAAATGCTACATTCTACATTTGAAAGGTTAGTTGAAAAAAATTAAAAATAGAATAAAAATTTCGCCAATACGTAACTGGAACATCTACTTAATGAAACGTACTCACACTGTTAAAATTCCTTAATTTTGTAGTGTGAATATTCAGTTTTACATGGGTACTTGATTGTATGACTAGTTAGGCATAAGTGAGTGCCGATATTCCTGTGTCAAAAATTAACTATCTTCATCCAAACCTATAATTTCCAACGAAAGAAATTGATGTAAAAAATTGTTTGAGAAAGAATGGGAGTAAACATAGACGAAAAACATTCTAAAAACTTTTAAGATTTTACTAATCATTAGATGAATTTAAAAAAAAGTAGACTGACTCATCTGAAAAGATAAAATATCAAAGTGGGATGTAAAATGAATAAAAATAAAACAAAAAAAAACAGTCGAAAAATATGAAAACAAGATGAAGAGGAATAAATCCAGGAATACATCTACTTAGGACAAGTGATAACATTTAGGAAAAAATTTTAAAAAATGACGAATAACTGGAACAGGTCCAGGAATACATTTACTTAGGTGATAAGATTTCGGAAAAGATCGTAAAAAAATAGATAAACAACTGGAAGAAGTCCTAATAATACATTTAGTTATGAATCTATCATTCTGCCGTGGATTGACTATTGCTGTTACATCGGGACTGGTGCTTCTACTATGCATTTAAAAGATTCTAGATAAAGTTCAGAAAGGAATCTGCAATGTTACAGGTCTTAATCATACATACCAACTTCATTTAATCTAGCACAGTTGGTACTTTGGTACAGTCTTGACCTGGCAACTCGGTTACAGTCACTTTCCCATCACCGTAATGTAGCTTCCCTGTGCCTTTTCTATAAATGCTTTCATGGTAATTGTTCTGATGAGCTTTCCTCTTTGGTACAGTCTTGACCTGGCATCTCGGCTTCAGTCACTTTCCCACCACTGTAATGTAGCTTCTCTGTGCCTTTTCTATAAATACTTTCATGGTAATTGTTCTGATGAGCTTTCCTCTTTGGTACAGTCTTGACCTGGCATCTCGGCTTCACTCACTTTCCCATCACCGTAATGTAGCTTCTCTCTGCCTTTTCTCTAAATACTTTCATGCTAATTGTTCTGATGAGCTTTCCTCTTTGGTACAGTCTTCACCTGGCATCCCGGCTTCAGTCACTTTCAAATCACCGTAATGTAGCTTGCCTGTGCCATTTCTATATATCCTTTCATGGTAATTGTTCTGATGAGCTTTCCTCTTTGGTACAGTCTTCACCTGGCATCTCGGCTTCTGTCAATTTCCCATCACCGTAATGTAGCTTCTCTGTGCCTTTTCTATAAATACTTTCATCGTAATTTTTCTGGTGAGCTTTCCTCTTTGGTACAGTCTTCACCTGGCATCTCGGCTTCAGTCACTTTCCCATCCCCGTAATGTAGCTTCTCTGTGCCTTTTCTATAAATACTTTCATGGTAATTGTTCTGATGAGCTTTCCTCTTTGGTACAGTCTTGACCTGGCATCTCGGCTTCAGTCACTTTCCCTTCACCGTAATGTAGCTTCTCTGTGCATTTTCTATAAATACTTTCATGGTAATTGTTCTGGTGAGCTTTCCCCTTTGGTACAGTCTTCACCTGGCATCTCGGCTTCACTCACTTTCCCATTACCGTAATGTAGCTTCTCTCTGCCTTTTCTATAAATATTTCCATGGTAATTGTTATGATGAGCTTTACTTTCTGGCACCTCGATTTCACGACCTTGCCTACTAGATTGGCGGCAAGATCGCATAATTTTCCAGTTGACTAGAAGTAAGCGCAATTTCCATGCCAACAATTTCTGTTCTTTCTCTTCTCACTCGTTGAACTCTCTTTCGGATTCTTGCTTTTCATTTATGTTTGATCTTCCAACATATGACGGCACTATCAATCGTTATGTTCTTTCAACATATATCATGTTTTTATTGTTTATCTCTCTTTGTTTTTCTTTTTCTCATATTCTTTCATATTGATTAACCCCTTACGTCTTTACGGCTTTACTACCTAGCGTAGTGTGACTTAATTAAATAGCAAGTGATAAGTTCCCGGAAAATATCATAAAAAAGAGATGAAGAACTAGAATTTGTCCAGGAATATATCTACTAATATAGGTGATAATGTTAAATAAAGACTATGAAGTTTAGATAAAATGGCGCGTAGCCAGTATTTCGAGAGCATTTAATAAAGATAGACACGTTATGAAATGGTGACTGTAAATATGGTTGTCATAATTAACTATATAATGCCATCTGTGACGTACATTAAACATGGGCATTAAAATTGCTTGAAAATGAAATTAGGGTCAACAGAAAAGACAATGATATGGGGACTTATAAAAGACAATTATATGGGTACTTCTAAATGACAATTATATGGGTACTTCTAAAAGACAATGATATGGGTACTTCTAAAAGACAATGATATGGGTACTTCTAAAAGACAATGATATGGTTACTTGTAAAAGACAATGATATGGGTACTTCTAAAAGACAATAATAAGAGTACTTCTAAATGACAATTATATGGGTACTTCTAAAAAGACAATGATATGGGTACTTCTAAAAGACAATGATATGGGTACTTCTAAAAGACAATTATATGGGTATTTCTAAAAGACAATGGTATGGTTACTTCTAAAAGACAATGATATGGGTACTTCTAAAAGATACAAAGAATCAAGATAGATTAGAGAATTGAAATTTGTACGACAGAACTAATTTAATGACATAAATAAAGATAGGCTGGCATATAGCAAGAGGAAAGGATAGCAGAGAAAGCAAAATATTGGTTAATAGTTACTCAGTAGAAGAGTAAATCTATTAAAAGCAGTAGAAAAGAACATTCAAAAAGTCTAAGGGAAATACAGGAGTTTACTGGTAAGAACTGGGGAAGACTAATGCATTAACAGTGGTCAATGTAGAAAGTGGGGAAATCCATTGTCTAGGAATGTATTCCTGACGTTTATGTGTGTATTCGTGCGTAAAGTTGCGTATATCTAATTGTATATATCTTATCATCCCAAGCAAGGCAACAAAGCCACTAACACGCAGAGGTAACTGGGTGTGAAAGAATATAAGCAAAACATTATTAAAAAAAGAGAACAACAAAAGAAGATGCACTAAGATGACAGAAGATAACAATTGACATTGCATTTATATTTTTGAAGATCAAAGTTGACTGGGAAGCAAGAAGCTGAAAGAGAGTTCCACAAGCGAGAAATGCGAGAAAAGAAACTTTTTGCATTAAATTTATGCATACATCTAGCCATTTGAACAGTAAAATAGTTAGATACTGCCGCCAATCTAGTCCTGCGCTTAAATTCATAAAATCATATCTTAGAACAACTACTATGAAAATGGCATAGTGGATAAAGGCGTTGGTTAGATCCAGTGACAGGATAAAGGACCCAAAGAGTATGAGTTCAATACCCGGTTAAGGCAGCGGAGAACTTTCAGAGGGAAAATTAACAGGAGATAACTGATAACTGACATCTATTAAACATGGCAGAATAGTTTACCCCAGTGAGCGAAATAAAGGGTTCAGTTCGACATTCCAACCACCTGAAGAAGGCCAGAGCGTACAACAGCCGAAACGTTGTAATAAATATAGCGACAAAAATGAGGACAATAGTCCAAATAATGTAAATAATGTACTATGAATGTATTCATAGAAAAGGCAGAAGGAATCTATATTCAAACAGTGGGAAAGTGACATAAAACCGAGGTGCCAGATCAGGACCAATGATATTGCACATTCTTCTTTGGATTTTATCAAGTATCTCTCTATATATCACAAGACTATATACGGCAGCAATGTTATAAACATTAACGAATAATAGTATTGTAAATATGTAAGATAGATTCAGACGAGAACCAACATTCCTAGCAGCAGACCTAGCAATTGATTCCACATAATCTTTCCACTTCATTTCATCGGAAATCTTTAGACCGAAAAAGTGCAATGAATCACTCTTATGGAGGTTAGCATCAGCCGTACTAATGTAGAAGGTAGAAAGGGCTCCCTCAGACGATTAATAGAGAGCAGTTTTGCGTGTGTTAAAATTAATAATAGATCTAAGTTCATACCCAAATGCACACAAATTTTATCAGATATAAAATTGGCGGTGGTCTACAGGAACAAACGCGTGCATACACACCGACCTTCTTTATTATTATTATTATTATTAGGTTTTACAACAGTATACAATAGTGAGGGTCGTACGTCTAATCAATTGTCCGTTTGACAGTGTACAGCTGGACACACGTCTTCTTCCTCTTTTTTCTTCATTTTCTTTTTTCTGGTTTCTTCTTTCTTCGACTGTATTTCAAACACTACTGTCTATCACTCCATTCACATACAACTATAAATATACACACAGGCACACACATTCTCCCTCTCTCTCTCTCTCTCTCTCTCTCTCTCTCTCTCTCTCTCTTTCTTCCTCTCTCTCTCTTTTTCTCTCTTTCTCATTTAAGCCACTGAGTGGGCACAGCTGTTTTGTATCTCGTGTTACCGGCAATGCCGCACTTAACAGACAGGGTCGTCTTTCGTCCTTGATCAGACCTTTTCCCTTCAAGCTGTCGTAGAGCGGATGGGTGGACAGGTAAGCTGTGGGTGGGCCCAGTATATCTCCTTTCTTCCTTCCGTGCGTGCGTGGGACACTCGATCATCAGCGTGTGTTGCTATGACAACCACTAGAACGTTGGGTACGTGAAGGGGGTGTACGTAGTTTGAGATGAATGTTTTTGAAATGTTCTTTCTTGTTCTGTCCCTTGCTTTTTTTTCTTTCATCCTCTTTCTCAATATAACACATTCCCACTTCTACCTTTCTTTACGTATCAGAGCAGAGAGAAAGAAATAAAAAACGAACACGTAAGACTCTTTAAATTGAACCGGTAACGTTTAAAGTAAAACATATTTTCTGTGGTTCATAATATCGATTATTATTATAAAAGTATTGCATACACGATTCCTGTAATTACTTGTACGATAGAAGATCTTATGATAATAGTGATATTAATAGGTAAAAGAATCGACTTGTCAAATCGTAGACTTCGCAAGGCATATAGACCACAAGTTAATCTAAAAGATCATGTAATAGTAAAATATCAAAAATTATCTAAATAAAAGAAAACAGAACAGTGCTAATATACCATTCCAATTTTATCAGACACAAAGACCATAAGGATAACAAGGAATTTTTAAGGACAGTGGAAAAAATCGGATGCTTCTAATCAGAATCAGAAAGGGACAGTAGAACATAGTAGGATACTTAATGAGGAAAGAAGACTTGGAGAATTTGACAATCACAGGTCATATTAAATGCAAGGTGGGTAGAGGAGAAACCTAAATAAGGAGCTTGTGTAAATGGAGGACAGTAGGAGGAATACTATAAATACATTGCTAAGAGCTACAAAGGATAGGATGTTATAGAGAACCATAATCACCTACGCCCTGAAGGGAAACGGTGCTCAAAGAAGAAGAAGATTGTGTAAATGGTTGACAGAACAGGGATAGCAAAAAGGCAAACTTTTCTGAGAGCTACAACGAACATGAAATTGTAAAAAGCCCTGGTAGCCAAGAAGAAGAAGAAGAAGTAGGAGGAGGAGGAGTAGGAGGAGCAGCAGCAGAAGAAGAAGAAGAAGAAGATGAAGAAGAAAGAGGATGAGGAGAAACAGTTTCGATAAACTTCGTAAATAACTTTCGATAAATTAAATTCTTAAGCAGCTCAGCCACAGGCAGATCTTCTATTAATAATAATAGCGATAAAAATCAAATTATAGAAACTAAATTAAATTGGCTAGCCTATATACCTTGACAACAAAAAATCTAAAATTCTAACGTTCCAACATTTTCATGGTTTCATATCTATGCATAATTTTATCCAACGTTTGCGTTTTTATATTCCAACTTCCATTCACACGCATGTATAATTACATCAACAAAAACATTAGTTTTTAGTCCGATGAAGTCCGATGGATCATCTTGCCATAGAGTAATTTTAAATGCCTTATTCCCAAGTCCCCTCCAGGTCTTTGAGTAAAAAGTACCATAGTAGGTGAGTTATAAATGCACATTTGGGACGTTTAGATAGAGAGTATTTTGCAGATGATATGTGCAGTTCCGCATAAAATAATCTTTTGTAGCTCTGAGATGCTGATGTACCCAGGAATTTTACCCACATGATGTTCAGCACCCTTCTTTATTATACGCAATGTCTCCATTACAATAGGAATAATCGTAGTTTTAAGTTACCACATTTTCGTTACTCCGTTTTGCAAGGCCTTATAATTTGAACGTTTTTGAAACTATTATTATAATTATTATTATTATTTTCTTGGATTTCTGTTGATATACATTTCCTTCCGGGTCCCAACCAGAGATCTAAAGTCAGAAATGGCTTAATGACATTTTATACTGATGTGAAAAAAAATGAAAGAAAAAACATCACACACATTTTACATACGTAAAGCTCATTGTAATGTGTGAATTATCCGTATGTGTACAAGTTTTTGTATTTCTTTAAGTCGTGGGCTACCAGGAATCCCTTCAATCCCTTGAGTCCACCGGATCCTTTTCCAATCAATCCGTGAGCTCCGATACCCACTGGAAATACTGATGTCCTAATGTGCAACTTTTTTTAGACTTTCACTTCAAGATCCATGTATTTTGATAGTTCTTTGAAGATCTTCAAAGATACATTACAATCTGCAGTGACTGCCAAGCGAATAAGAAAGCACATTGTTTTTGTAGTCTTTAATCACAATCAGGGTGATTAGCTTTGGTTGTTCTGTTTGTGTGTATTGTAAAGGCCCATAAAATTAATACATTTATTATCTGTGTAACCGCGTCAGGGTGATGTTCATACCAGTTACTTGGAGAATATTCCCGTAAAAGTTGCACATGTTCTAGTAGAGATATTGGCCCACTCTATCATACCGAGTTTTCTATTCAGTGGGTGCCAACAATGTGCAACTTGATATAGTTGTTATTATTATTATTTAGAATTATATAGACACGCCCATTATGATTTTGCAAAATTTTCTATTCTTCTGGAGGTTTTCTAGCTTTTTAAATACAGGACTGGTGGTCGCAATATGATCAATAGTTTAGTTGTACGTTTCGTTAAAGGGACACATATATTTATAACTTGTTACAGTTCGATTCTACTAAATAATCTAATTGATTATTGAGAGTTTTTAAGTAAGATTTGTTTATCAACATTATTATTATAGCCAAGGATGTAATCAACTCTGGAAAAGGAAGTCGGTAATAAATGTTATGTTACGTTTGCTTTGACTAATGTACTCCTCTTAGCTATACGCAAAATAGCAAGGAAGCCTTGTGTATCAGCCAGTCTAGGAGAAAGACTGAATTAAAAAAAGGTGGAGAATGTAACTTAAGTCATGGCAGTGGTCTATATTCTGATGCGCTAAAGAATTGACAAAAGGTGTGGGCTGTACTCATGAGAACAGTTTTTTTTTATTTCTTTAAGGCATGGGCTTCCAGGAATCCCATCACTTTGTCTACTGGAATCTTTTCCAACTAATCCGAGGGCTCCAACTACAACAGGGATTGTTGATGTTCCAATGTGCCACATTTTTGAGATTTTGATTTCAAGGTCCTTGTATTTTGATAGCTTTCTTGAAGATCTTGAAAGATACATTGCAGCCTGCAGGGACTGTCATATCAATAAGGAGGCCCCTTTTTGTGTGCGATCTTTAATAACAATGTCTGGGCGGTTGGCTTTGATTGTTCTGTCTGTGTGTATTGTCTAGTCCCATAAAATTGTAACAGATCCTATCTCCATGACCGGGTCTGGGTGGTGTTCATACCAATTTCTTTCAGTTACTTTCACGTATAAGTTGCAGATTTTCCAGTGCAGATATTGGCCAACTCTGTCATACCGGGTTTTATATTCAGTGGGTGCCAATATCGTGCAACCTGATACAAGATGATCAATTGTTTCTGGATATTTACGACAGAACCTGCATTATTATTATTATTATTATTATTATTATTATTACTATTATTATTATTATTATTATTATTATTCCTTTGATTCCTGGTGTATACTCATTTCTTTCCCGACTAGAGACACTGAGCAGTTTTGAAAATAAATTAAATAACACATATTTTATATAGATAAAGCTCCTTGAAAGGTGTGGGCTGTAATTGTGAGAACATTTTTTTTGTATTTCTTAAGGCGGGGGCTACAAGGAATCCCTTCAACTGGTCTACTGGAATCGCTTCCAATCAATCCGAGGACTCCAACTACAACTGGAATTGTTGATGTCCTCATGGGCCATATTTATTATTGCATAAGTATTTGAGATCCTCGCGGATTCTTAAATGTTGCGGCCGGTTGATAATGATACCCGTATTTCAGCACCTAACTTCAGCACATTTCTTTGCGTTTTTCCATAAAATTTTCCTCAGCAGATGAGATGTTCTAAACAGCGTTGCCACCTGCGCACTACCAATGATGTTACGTATTCTCAAGCTGCCTTGTAAATAGACCCGCGTGCACCAACCACAGGAGCGTTAAGTTCTGTTGCTGCTTGGTAAATTTGTTCAATTTATATTGGCACTTGGAGGCTTTGTTTGTTTGTTTTGTTTTTTTCTTTCAACCGGAACATGTTAATGATGTTTTTGTCCTTACTGAGATATGATACAAAATGAGCTTCACTTCTCCACTATTGATGGTGGTGACTTATCCCAATGTTCTTATCCGAAGGTACAGCAACGTTTACCAGAACCCATTCAGTGCTGCTCTTGTAACAAAGAGATTATTCTCCATTCGCTTGTCAATTAACATGATTCCCAATGTATTCTATAGACAACGTTGTCATGGCTTCGTCTGTACTCTTTTTTTGTGAGTGCAACCACTGATAATATGTCGCCTGCTTTCAGCAGGCTTCACATACAGTCTGCACTCGAGTAAATGAGCTGTTTTATTAACAGGATACTTGATGGACTTTGCTCTTGAAGATCTTTCATGCATTGTACATGAGACAATCCGATTACATTATTCCAACACAAGGGATGAAGGTGGGAGTTCGGACATTTGCGCACTTAGGTAGTATAGGTCCACTTGATCCGTTGTTGTTATTATTAGTGTATGCTATATTTCCTGTTTTGTATCGTGTAGAGCCGGGTCGAAACTATGGTCCTTAGGCCCTATAGAAGAACTGCCATTTAAGTGATAACACTTTTCTTAGTATATGGGATGTTCCTAGTAGGGCGATCTTCTGGGCAACTTGTATGTTGATGTTACCTCGGACACTGTTAGTAAAATTTCCATTCCTTTTCTCACGAGGCCCAGAGCTCAGATACTATTGATACAGTCTCAGTCTTCATTCCCTATATCCTGTTAATCTTGATCTCCAGGCCCTTGTATTATTATTATTATTATTATTATTATTATTTGTGTATGTTATGTTTCCTGCTTTCTATCCTATAGAGCCGGGTCCAAACTATGGCCCTTAGAACTGACATTTAATTGATAGCACTTTTCTTATTATTAGGAATATTCCTAGTAGAGCCATCTTCTGCGCAACTTTTATATTGATGTTACCTGGGAGAC